GAACAAATCATTAGTTGTAGTCACCCTATTGGTTTATAAAGCACAATTTTTGTCATGTTTTCTTAGCCTATAACAAAGCATAACTCTTTTCGAGTAAATTAATTTCTTTCAAGTGAAGTGAAAGGTGTCTTCCCTCAATTAGTTAAAAGAGTGTTCTTGTTTTATATTGGATTGAATGCAACCATTTTTAAAATAGAAAAAATGGTTCTAAACCCTATCAAGGAAGTTCTTGACTTCAAGATATTTTTCACTATGAAAAATGTCAATAAATTTGGTTGTTAAGGTTGTTATTGTTTTCAATAACCAAAATAAAAATTAAAATAGAATACCTACAAAACATCTCTCTCACACATACATATTTACATATACAAGTGGCATGTTTCCTAGCTGGTTTGTTTATTAAAGAAGTTACTTTTGAGAGGAGAGGTGAGATGGAGGCAGAAATCAAGGGCATTATGGTTAAAGGAGGGAGACAATACAACTTTCTTCCACGCATTTGCAAGTGGGAGAAGGAGGAACCTGATTACAAGGGTACAAGTAGGGGAGGAAGCGGTTGAGAATTGGGAAAATATTCAAAGGTTAGTATTGGACTTTTACAGGAAGCTTCAGGGAGGAAATGGTGTTGGATCTCTTTGGGGGTGTTGAAACAAAATAAAAAAAAAAATTGAGTGAGAGAGAAGCTGGTTGACTAGAGAGGGAGGTTGAAGTAGGATAAGTTAAAGAGGCTTTGAAGAGGATAAATGGAGACAAAGCTCTGAGTCACAAATGATCAAGGAATTCTATGAAAATAAAATGGTGGAAAGGAGAGCTAATGCAACTTTTATTTCACTAATACAAAAGAAGATGGGGGTTGTGAACATAAAGGATTTTAGGCCAATAAGCTTGGCATGCAGTCCCTGTAAGCTCTTGGTCAAAGTCTTATGAAATAGGCTATGGAAAGTGGTTCATGTAGTGGATGAAACTCAAATGGCTTTTGTGAAGGTAAGACAAATTTTGGATGGGGTGATGGTGGCAAGTGAATTTATATACTCAATATTGAGAAAATGGAGGCCTGGGCTAGTGTATAAATTAGACATTGAGAAAGCATATGATCATGTGGAGTGGAGATTCTTGGAAGAAGTACATAGGTTGATGGGATTCGGAGAAAAATAGAGGGGTTAGATGTATGGGCGTATCTCATCTATTTCCTTTCTAGTGATCCTTAATAGGGTTTCTTCATAGTTCTTTCAAGCTTCAAGGGGGCTGAGACAAGGGGACTCTTTGTCCCCCTTATTGTTTGTCTTGGCTATGGAAGCTATAAATCTCTTGTTAAAGTGGTGAATTCAGTAGGTTTGGCTAAAGGGATATAGTGTAGGGTCAAAGGGGCCATGCTTTGGACATTTACAATTTGCGGATGATACCCTCATCTTTTTAGTTGCAAAGGTGGATCAAGTGCTAAATTTAAAAGTAATACTATTGTATTTTGAGTTGCTGACAGGTATGAAAGTGAATCTAGAGAGGAGTGTTTTGATTATAGTTGGAGAGATTAGCTAGGAAAATATGGCAATGTTTGTAGTAGATTTAGAGTGCCAAATAGGGGAGCTTCCCTTTTCCTATTTAGGCCTCCCAGTTGGGGCCAAATATGGTTCAGCAAGCACATGGAGGCCGCTTATAGAGAGGGTGGAAATGAGGTTGGAAAAATGGAAAGCAAGATATTTCTCACTTGGGGGAGAATAACCCTCATAAGAAGTGTGTTGTCGAGTCTTACTACATACTACCTCTCACTATTGAAAATACCAACTGTTGTAGCCAATAAGATAGAAAAGATCCAAAGGGATTTTCTTTGAAAAAGGGCAAAGGGACTTAGAAAGTTTCATTTAGTAAAGTAGAAAAAGGTATGCAAACCAAAAACATTAGGTGGTTGGGTTAAGAAGGATAAAGACATTCAATAACTCTTATGGGTAAATATGATTATGGAGGTTTGGGTTGGAAAAGGAGAGGGATTCGTTATGAAGAGTGGTGGTTACGGGGTGGTGAGGTTTGGGTGGGAATCGAAGGAGCTTTCAAACTCCCATTTGCTTTTTGACATTTTTTTTGGGTAAATTGCTGAAATTTTCCTGAAGTTTCTCGTTATTGCTGAAACCTCCCCTCAGGTTAGGTAATTGCAATCACCTCCCTTAAACTTTCTAACATAGTTGCAAGTAGACCCCTTTGATAGAATCTTTTAAAAAAAGGCATCAAAATCTCCAAAATACCCTTTCAATTACTTTTGACAAAAATGTCTTTTTTTTCCCAAATTTTCTCTTCATATGAATTGCTTGCCCAAAGCCTTCCAATCTTTTTTTTCTGAAATTGATTTATTTTTCAATCACTCGAAGGTAAAGTTGGAGTGTGAAATTCTCTACTTTTTTGTTTTTATAAAGTTTGTATTATTTTTACAGTAGAAACTAGCCTCAATAATAATTGCATGGGCATTTTGGATTTTTTTGGTGCCGCTTGTTAGAGGACTCTAATAGGGGGAGTCTACTTGCAATTATATCAGAAAGTTTAGACGAGGTGATTGCAATTACCAAACTTCATGAAATATTTCAACTTTCAACAACAGTCACAAACTTCATGGGAGGTTTCAGCAATTTACCCTTTTTTTGTGCTTGCTCAGTGTGGTTAGACCACCTGATGGGTTGAACCGCTGATGGATAGAAAATAAAGAGGTACCAACTGGTTGAACCATTTGAACCATTATATATTGAGGATTACCCTTGTGCACCTGAAGCCAAAAGTAGTAACTAGTTTTATCTGGGATTGACGTTTAAATAAAGGTACTTTTTATAGAATATATTCTTATTAATAAATTAAACTAAAAATTATCAAAGTAATATATTACTAATAAAATGAACTAAAAATAACTTTAATATTACATATTATAATGAAATTATATTAAAATTATGAAAATGGCTCTTTAGTAAAAACACAACATTCAAACCATATTTGCTAATGGATAGAATAAGAATTTTAAGTATAAATAAGCATATTTAACTGGGTCAATAAACGTAGTCCGACTGAATAGCCTGGTTGGTGGGTCAGAATCTTAAATGTTAGCAAGGGACTAGGGAGACTGGGAGAGGGCGTGGCAACTGGGATAGGGGAACATCACATGAGACTCACGGCCATACCACAAAGAACCTATCGTTAACCAATCCCATGGAGGATATCCAGTGACCAACTAAATTCAGATGACAGGGGAGATATTCCCAATGTACGGCTGTGGTAGGATGTGGGAAGAGTTTGTGGGGTAAGAGATTCGATTATTGTAATTGGTTCAAGAACCCAGCTTTGCTGCATCTGTGGAGCCAAGCAGAGTGCCATAATCGACTGAATATCAGTTTGTTAGAAACTAATATTGCAAATTTGGAATTCATGCTCCATGTAGCAATGGGATAACTATGTTCCAGATCAATTGTTTCTTCTTCTCTGTTTCTAAAAAAGGCGACAGGAATACTTGAATTATCCAACACTTTGGGACTTTACGCAACAATTTGGGAAGCAATAGAATTATGTTTCTTTTTCTTTTCTAGCGAACATCAGATAGCCCCCATTACAATGCCATATTTTAAATATTAAGGAGCAAGCCCCAGGTTTAGAGAATCTCTATTGAAAATAGAAACCATAAAAAGGAGTTTTGGGATATTGGTCAATGTAAAATGCAGTAAGCACGGTGCCAATGTAAAACCTTTCCTTTTTAATGACTGGTCTTTTATTGGTTCCATGGAGCTACAAAGGGGGGTTAGCTCATACAACAAAACATGTGGGATTCAATCCAAGTCTCCCCTACAACCAGCTACAAACCTTACCAACTGAGCCGGTCGTCACCTTCAATTACTTGTCTAAGTAACTGACTAAATTGTATTTCCGTGTAGCAGAAATAGGTATGTAGTTTTCTTTGGAGAAGCCAAATTCACTCGAATAGTGACCTAATGACAACCACACCCAGCTTTCCACAAAAGTTACATGTGAGATACTTATCCATGAAATCCAATTTCAGCTTTATTGCTCATTTGAGAGGGCTTAGCTTCCTGTTACTGCTTTAGTTAAGCCACTTTGAAGATGACCATAGACATTGACAATTGCAAGAAGCTTGTCCTAACTCCTAAGAACTGCCTAGATTGCTATACAATGACTCTCTGAACCAAGGTTCGTATTGATACGTATTGGCCGATACGTATCGTTCCGGAACCCTTCCGATACACCCCTACAATGGGTGTATCGGGGGTCTGACTGATTCAGGGTGTGGAGAAGGCCTAAACCGGCTCCCCTGAACCAGTTGCAAAAAAAATAAAAAATAAAACACTAAAAAGCTGTATGGATTCGCCCCATACGCCCATACCAATATATCGGTATTTTGAACCTTGCTCTGAACTGCTTATAAGCTTGTTTGGTGAACCCTAAAAAACTGTAATCCACATCATAAAAACCCTCCTGATGGGATTTCCTAAAACCAAAAAAAAAAAAAGGTAAATTTGAGTTCACAATTCAGGTCAGTGTGAAGGGGGAGAGTGGGGGGATAAATACATTTTATGAATTCTGAGGTGGAGTGAACTGTAAAAAGGCCAAAAAAAAAATGTAAACATGCGGAGAGAACGGCATCCAGCTATGCATCAGTGTGGTAACCAAAAAACTTGTCCCGTTTACAGCATGCTATCAGGGTCGGTGCAGACACACATCCACAGGAAGTGGCTTTTCTAGTCCCTCAACAGTATCTTAAGAACCAGTACAACATCTCTCTTCTATAATAATGAGTTCCTATAGAAAAAAGATATCATCTTATAGAACTCCAGCTTTTGTCTTTTTGGAAAAGTAAGTAAACCACCATTACTCACACACTTGGACAAAAAGTGGACAAGTTTTAACTGTCTAATACTCTAATTTTCAAACAACCATCAGCATCCAGACCAGTATTTTAGCTCTAATTAGGAAAACATCTAGTCCTAAAGTCCTCTTGAGAATGTTCTAGATTAAGAATGTACAACTTCAATACTAAGCAATTATTACCTATTTCAGTCGCATGAACTAAATTTACATTGGAGAAGAACATGGATTAAAAAAAAAAACATTTTTTTCTGAGTGTTCTGTCAGTCAGAACTTCTAATGGAAGTCTTATGAAGCAATACTTAATAAATGATGTATGAAAAAAAATTCAACAAAACCAGACAGGAAAATTATAACTTGATTGCCTCTAGGAATTTTCTTCGTTGTTCTTGTTTTTGCCTCTAAGCATGTCACTGAAACTTCCCCTCATGATCCTCCTGAATCTTGTGTCCTCTTGTGGAGGTTGTTGTACGGGTTTTGGAGGTTCAACTGGCTCTGGTAATTCTGCACTCTCCTTCTTGCCCAGCAGCCCACCTTCACCAAAGAAACTGCTCACTGACGATGCAATACCAAGATGGGCACCCATGACCTTACTAATAGCTTCAAAAGTTCCACCTGCTCTTTCCTTGAGTATAATTTCTAGGGCTTCTTTGTGTGCTGGATCAAGTGAATCTGGATCTTTTAGCAAATTCTGTATGGAAGGTAGGAGGAAATCCCGAACACTGGTTGTAGGCAGATCTATTGGAAGAATGAATTTAACTTAATCACAAACCACCTCAACCGGATTAAAGTAAATGGCACTACAGACATGCATGAATTGCAGTTTTTACTTATTATCATTATAACAGTATAATAATTATACTAATAATCAATTTTGTTATCGTTAAAGGTAAATCAACAATAATACATGATAAAATCCTTGAATTCTGTCACCATCCAGTTAGTTTTCTATTCAACCTATGAAACAAAACTCAGCAACATTAACATCACCTGATCCTCTAAATATGCCAACTATCCTGATATTGCTCCATTCTAGCATATAAAAGAATCTGAAAACCACCAAGGTGCCAACCAGCTGGTTGGTAAGGTCTCCTGCTGGTCATAGCGGAGACTTGGGATTGATCCCGCCTGCACCTGGATTGGGGGATGGGATACCCCCCGTTGTGTAGTCCTTTGAAAGAAATCAAGAAAAAAAAAAGAATCTGACAACCAACTTATTCACTGGACCCATATCACTTAAAACAACATTCAACATAATAATCAAAGAAAAAAGAAAGAGAGCACTATTCTTGTGAGAAGCAAACCTGTAGCATCTAGGGCACGTATTGATTCACAAAATGCATTGGCTCTCTCCCGGCGGCGCATCACATCACTTCTAGGTGTTGGTGCACTTGTTAGTTCGAAAATCTTAGACAAAAGATGTATACCATGTTAAAGAAATAAATGTCAGAACTATAAAATAAAAAATTACAAACCAAAATCCAAATAGTGAGATTAGTATTGTTAGTGGTGTTAGTGAAGGGGTATTTTGGTCTTTGCACTTGTTGAGAATGTTGATGTGTACTGTTATGTTAGTTCAAGTGCCTCTTATTTAAATAAGGGCACTTAAGTCTTTTCCAATAAATTAATAATATAATAACAGGTCTGGCCGAATCTAGGGATAACTTTTTCTCTAATTCGAACCAGACCTTCTCTCTTTTCTCTCTTCTTCTTTCCTCTCCTACTTCTACTTCTTGCTGTTCACTTTACTTTACAGTCAACGAACAAGACAGAATTCTAGGGCAGGTCGAACTTCAACAAGTATCAAATGTCTGATGACAAAATAATATTAATAGTTCTGATAATTATTTCATTAGAAGGTTGAGGATATAATCTCGCAGCCTGTCTGTAGTATGTGGTACTGCAACCACTAATGCATGGATCACAGCAATGGTAGCTTCATGGGATCCATCTTCAAGAAAAGCATCCATCTGAACTCGTATCTTATCAATTATCTGAATGATGACAAGCCTGTTTAGTCATAATGCGTATGGAATTGCTCATATAAGATTTGAAATGCCAAATCAAGGACCAAGAATTTGTACCATGTCACTTTTAAAATGTTGCGCTACAGCTCCAAAAGCATCTATGCTTGCATATTTTACATTTAGATTTTGATCAGAGCCCAGGGTGACAAGGGCAGGTAAAACATGCGTAGAAGCCATTTTCACATCAATAGACGGAACCTATTCAGGAAAGAAACCAAAATAATTAGAAATGTATAATAAAATGTATTAAAAAACTTTATCGGATGGTAGTGCATACAAGGACTTTCAATAGATTGGCAGCACTGATCTTCATATTTGCATTGGTGCTGACAACCATCTCCCACAGAATATTGAAGATGATTCCATGGTGTTCTTCAAATGTGCTGCATGACGAGAGAACTTGTCAGCCAAGGTACCAAAAACAGCACATAAGCCTCATGTTCAAGAAACCCTCTTTCAGTGTGCCTTGAACAACAACTTTATCAAGTATTCACAAGCTGGATATAGAATACCAACCAGAGGAAGCGGACAGCATCAATGATCTCAGTAGTACGATTTGTCATGGAACCCTCTTTCAGTGTGCCTTGAACCAACAACTTTCTCAAGTATTCAGATAATTGTTCATGCCTACTGGAGGCACCAAGAATACCGGCCAAGAGAATTGGTAGAACACACACTATAGCAAGTCTCTCAGCCACAGCAGTTTTAGGTTGTAAACCTGCAATTAAGCAAACAAATATAAGACCATATGATAAGTGCCGAAATCTCTACATACATTTAGAATGCTTTACCTCTGATTCTTGACTGGATAGCAGAGGGGAAATATGTCAAATCATAAGTATCCCCAACTGCGACTAAGAAAACAGGAAGGATTACGTGTGTTGAATACTGATCCCCGAAGTATTCTGATACAGCCAACAGGTACTGAATAGAAATATGTAAGTCAGCAATAGCTGTATGAATGGATTTGTCTCCAACATAGACTTGAGAAAAATAATGAAATCAAGGGATGTCGACGAACGGACTCCAAAGATGGAGTTTCTTACCTTTGTGATTCTATTTCTTAAGTTGTCTTCCTTTTGAGGTAATAGACAGGCAAGTTGAATCAAGCCATGGAAACAGTCAACATGCATCCAATCAAATGCTGGCCATTCCATGTGACCCCTAAACAAGACAGTTAAAATCACTCAAACGCACACAATGGAGTAGAAAGACCATCGAAACATCTACTGGAACGTATCTCAAGATAAAAAGGTTTTGTTCCACCAAGAACAGAAATATGAGAAATAGAAGAGTTCTGTGAAAGTTAGCACACCCTGCATACAACTCAAGCACGGAGATGGAAAAGAATGCTCCTTGAGGATCAGAAGCAAGAGAACCATTAACAGAAGGAAATGGACATGACTCAATTGCTTTCTGGTGCACAAACGGAAGCAGATCAGTCAACATGCGGAGTAAGACATCAATATTCCATCTCTCTCGTTCACCTAATACACGTAAATGCGACTCCATGGAACCTTCAACCCCCGAAAGTGGTGGACACCGCTGAAAAATTAGAAAATGAGTATATCAGAAAGCAGGTATGGAATAATTTCCAGTCCCTAAGTAGCCAATCGTTTCGTTCAAGTCAAGCATACCTGAGCAGAGCCCAGGATATGACAAAGTAGAAGTCGTAAAATATGATCCAATTTGTTTCCCCAGCTTATAACTGCAGGTACTAATTCTTTGAGCGAAGTCTCAACTACCACTCCAGAGGGGTCACAGACCAGCTGGAACATCAACTCCTCAACCTATTCAACAAACAAAAAGAAATTTTGGGTAAACTTTCTTGTTTTGGATGTTGTCACCATGTTATGATTAGGGAAAAAGCCTCTAAGCCATTCCCAGAATCATATGCTTTCAACCTTTCTAGAGCTTACATTGCAGCCAATTCTGTCAAGTCAGTTTTCTGCTCCATGATTGCCTCTGAGCATATGTAGTGAGGCTGACCTTGAAATATTTGTCCATATTTGGAAAGAGTGGAAGCAGCAATGCGAGGTTATGAGCAGCAGCTTCTCGGACAACAGTTGCAGAATCCTCAACCAGTTGTTGCACAATGGACAGAATCAGAGAATCACGAATCTCAGGTCGAACAAATTCTGCAAGCTCTCCACATGATTGAGCAACAAGCAGCCTACGCTCCTCATACATGTGATTAATCTACAGTCAAGAAATCCCATGTATTAAACAACAATCCTTAAGCTTAAAAGGATGATATCAGCTAATTAAGTGGTTCTCTGCAGAATAATGATTAAAGCTCACTTGTTCCCAACACTGTGGAAGCAATTCTGATTCAGTTCTCATCTCTCCCACATTCTTAGCTAAACTGACACATGCCTGAAATAAAATCAGGATAAGATTCAGTATCATATCTATATTGTAGAGATGTCTGAAGTTTGTAGTTTCATGGCCCAAAAAATAAAAGAATGCCGACCAATAATTAGAGCATTTCAGGTTAACTTACAGCCATTATAATCCTTCTTTGTTGTTCATCTGGTCGCTTAATTAAATTGAACAATAAATGTGTCAGGGAGTCCCTTGTGCTACTATCTGGATGGCGCTCAATCGCACACATCATTAGGGGAAGAAGCTCCTGCCATATATATAGCACATGACCTTAGAATATTAACCTTTCATTGAAAAACTATGGACATAGCAGTAAAAGAAATAAAGCATTCAGTATCAAACCTCACGATGGTTGATCAATACATACGGAACAATTTTAGGCAAGGCATCAGAAAGGATTTGAATGGTTTCCAAACCCTGTCAAAGGAAAACATTTATTTTAGATATTGTAAGGTAACATTGACCATTTGTAAAGTTTATAAATTTTTTGGAGGAAGATATCAATGCCATTAATAACTTGCCATCTTTACTGTAGTGGGTTCACTCATTTGATTCTCTGATTCAACAACTCTTGCAGCAACTTCTTGTGAGTGTGCAGTGTCATGCTTGTAGATAGTCTTGTCATTTTCAACTGTACCATCACCATTTGAAGAGCTAAATGGCGGCTCTTTTAACATTTCAATAGGCTTAGCCACATTTCCTACAAGGGTCTCAGTTTTCTGATGTTCACTATCTTCAACATTTGAGGTACTGGGTGCCAAGCCTGCAGGACAAGGCAATATAGTTTTATCTTCATGTATCTCAACAACCTTTTCTTCTGTCTGTGTATTCTCTTTTATGCAAACAACAGACTCAAGATTGCTTGAAACCGAGTTCTTTGCCTTCAAACTTTCTATTTCCATTTGCAAAGATTTTATTTCTGCCTTATAATTTTCCAAGGACTGAGATTGTGAAGAATCAATATCTCCAGTTACCCAACCTCTACCAGATCGAGACCCTTCTATGTGCATTTTCAATGATGTAATTTCAGCTCTACAGTCATTGAGTTCCTTCCTTTGAAGCTCTAGTGATTGTTTTAAACTATGTACCTGAAGAATAAGAAATTATCAAACAATTGTTTGCATAGAAATCAAAACTAAAATTATTCTGCAATTAAAAAAAGTGAAATGACCAAGAACTACCAATATCTCCCTCTCCTTCAGATCCTTATGGACAGCTTCTAAGGACTTTGTTAATGCCATTTTCTGACCTTCAGCCACATCCTTGTTTCTCAGCAAGGATTCTTTTTCCTGATTCAGCCTCTCATTTGCTTTAAGTAGAGACTCATTTTCCCGAAGAAGGGAGATTTTCTCCTGCATGACAGGCACATTCATCATTTTTGCAGTCTATACAAACAGCATGCTACCTAAAACTCCAAACTTAATAAAGGCAGGAAGTATGCTGAACATTGATAAACTATGAGGAATTGAACCCATCCAATTTTTTCATAGACCTTACATAAGTATATGATCAAGAAGAAAGAAGTAGAACATAAAAATCAGGCTCCAACAATTCTGAAGTACCAAAAGTTTAATGAGTGTTATTTTACATAAATTTTGTTGGTGAAATAAGTTGCAAAGTTTATTATCCCTATTTATCTTTCTAAGACCCATAAAGAAATTCAGTCATTCATGCCCAGATCAAACAGGTCCAGCTTGATTATCAATTCACCTATAACAAAGTCCAAGACAGGGGAATTACAAAAATTGGTAAAAATATCTCTTTTCCAGTATTGTTGCAAGCGACAAAATATATGATTTGATCACTGTCTCTTCTGGTTTAAGGAAACCAAATCCATCAATAATCTCTTTATGCAGATGAAACCGGTAAGGGGATATGGTCCTAGCTTTTATCTATCATGAACTTGGTTTCCACTTCCCTTTGCATATTTTTGGCTCCTCTTGCAAGTGCAACCAGACCTACTGGTACTTTTTGCTAAGAATAGCAAGCTCATTTGGTAGATGATTGTCCACAGATCTTTGGGAGCATTTGGGGGAGAAAGAGGGCATTCTAGTCCAAGTCAACCCCCATCCACTAATTCCTGTAGAAAGTGCATTGCAATATGTTTCTATAATGGAAGTGCATATATAACATACTTGCACATACTCGTACATATAAAAAAAATACTTTTAGAATACAATTTCAAATTTGATGACAAGATACAACACTACTGTCATAGAGGGTGTTTGCCAAATCTTTCTAAGTAGATCTTTTGACAGCCCAGCAGACCGAATGATGTACTGAGTTTTTGGGGTCTTGCCTTTAAAGATCAAGATTGTTTGGTAAGTATTGTTATCTTGAGAGCTGTACTTGAAGTAGAGAAGAGGAGAAGAACACCACTGATATGCTGTGAATGTCGAACTGAATAGCTCAGTCGACAGTACTATTATTTATATTATGATGAAGTACAATGATACAGGAAGTTACTGGAATGCCCCTGATTAGTGATGGGACACCCAGACAACTTAAAACATTAAACAGAATTAGGCCCACTAACATAGGCC